ATTATGTATAATATACTTATGCATGTATATACAGATGTATACTATATTTGTATAGTATATATGGTGTGCATAAATGTAAACTATGTACATTATATTGTATATTGTTTGTGTGTGTATATATACATATACATACACACACATTTGTATACACACGTTATATATATACACACACACACCCCCTGTAACATATGTATGCTATGTATATAGAGTATATATTGTGTATATATACACAAAATACACAATATAATGTATACTGCTTATATACACACAGTATATACTGTACTATTCATATGTATAATATACATATGTATATGTGTGTGTATACACATGCAGTACATAAGCAATATCTATTATAATATAGATTGTTGAAATATACACAATACAATATATACTACATAGGTATAGTATAAATATGTATTATATGTGAATATATATATATACAGAAACTATACATTATATGTAATATATATATGGTGTAGTATTTATATACACATAAACACTATACATTATACACTGTTTTACTAGTCTGTGTGTGTATGTGTTTTTATATATATTATAGTGTGTTAAATATACCCTATTTTATTAGTGTGTGTGTATATATAAACTGAATTAGTATTGTTTATGTGTGTGTGTATATTACATATATTGAATACACTATACCCTATTTTACGTGTGTGTGTATACACACACATACACAAAACACGTATACTATACATAGTATATATGTATATATACAAAATATACTATACAATGTATGTATATATATATGCATACACAATATATGCTATATCTACATATAGTATACATATATATTATATGTGTGTGTATATATATACACATATATACAGGATATACATTACACGCACACACACACAAAGAAACAAGAGCCTCAGTCTTTGGCTCTTGTAGACCTCATATGTATACATACAGGTGTGTGTATTTACACATACACAAGGTCTACAAGAGCCAAAGACTGAGGGATTATTGTTAATGTTTTTGTCAACAGACTGTTTGCAGTGTTTCCCATCTAAACAAATTAGTTTTTGTTGAAAGCTGCCTCCCAGGGTAAGCAAGCATAGTCAATCTCAACACATCATCATAACTGCTCCTTCGTAAGCATTATTCTGCTTCACTGCACATCGCATTTGTTTCCAAAGATCAGCCTTACAGAGAGGAGCTGTACTGTCTTAATAATGAAATCAGCATCTCTGCTGCGCAAAGAAACGGCCTTTTCTTGCAACAGTGCTGGAGAATTGTTTTTTCGTCCTAGCAATAGCATTGACTTGTCAATACAACCCTGATGAATATGAACAGAAATAAGGGCAAGACATGTCTAGTTCTTGCCACTTGATAAAGAAGTCAAGGGTGAGCAAACAAAGGTCAGGGCTGAAACAGTTTGTATGTATGGCGAGGGGAAGAAACGATATGAGATTGCATCTGTCACCTCTTCAAAACATGCCGGGTGTCAAACGGTCACCACAATGCTGCGTCCGTGTCATTTCTACAGGTAATGTTATTTAAAGCCTTGCAGAAATGG